ATTTTTTAACTTTGACGAGGTGTGGCTTCCAAACTAATGACTGAAACTCAATGCTGTGTATAAGAAAGTTAAAGAGCAGTATAATACCTGTAAAATGAGTCATCGATGACCTCAGTCGGTTTACCAGAACTCGAAATAAAAATTAAAAAAGGGCCAAAAACGTTTTTTACACTTAAAAAAAAATTGACACCATACAAAAAATTATAAGTGCCCATTTCTTAATCAGGGAGATGTACTTTACCGGAAAATTAAGGTTGCCTTCGATTAGGGTGAGGTCGATTTTATTTTGTAAACTAGTGTAATTGGGACTTAACACAAGAGCACATATTAAAATAAAACCTGAGTGTGAGTACAAATAAAAAAGGGTGCAAAATCGCACAATCAAATTATTATTATTTAAGTCAACCAAGTGGATGAAAATAATTATAAAGGTAACCAACTCGGTTTTTAACTAGGGATAGCACATATATTTATTTTCCACTTCATTTTTATACATATTTATAAAAGTAAAACAACGAAGAAAAGGCGTTTTAAATATCACATATTTAAATCTTGTTTATTTTATTGGTCAAAAATTAAAATTTGAATTTCAAATAACGCGCTGATATCAAAGCTTTCGATAATTACGCGATTCAATCAGCGATTTAAATGCTCCAGACGAAAATGCTCCAGTCGCTGAATGCTCCAGTCGCAAAATGCTCCAGTCGCAAAATGCTCCAGTCGCAGAATGCTCCAGTCGCAAAATGCTCCAGTCGCAGAATGCTCCAGTCACAAAATGCTCCAGTCACAAAAGGCTCCAGTCACAAAATGCTCCAGTCGCAAAATGCTCCAGTCACCAAAATGCTCCAATCGCAAAATGCTCCAGTCGCAAAATGCTCCAATCGCAAAATGCTCCAGTCACAAAATGCTCCAGTCGCAGAATGCTCCAGTCACAAAATGCTCCAGTCACAAAAGGATCCAGTCACAAAATGCTCCAGTCGCAAAATGCTCCAGTCACCAAAATGCTCCAATCGCAAAATGCTCCAGTCGCAAAATGCTCCAATCGCAAAATGCTCCAGTCACAAAATGCTCCAGTCACGTAATGCTCAAATCGCAAAATCCTGCAGTCGCAAAATGCTCCAGTCGCAGAATGCTCCAGTCACGGAATGCTCCAATCGCAAAATGCTCCAGTCTCAAAATGCTGCAGTCGCAGAATGCTTCAGTCACAAGATGCTCCAGTCACAAAATGCTTCAGTCGCAGAATGCTCCAGTCTCAAAATGCTCCAGTCACAAAATTCTCCAATCGCAAAATGCTCCAGTCGCAAAATGCTCCAGTCTCAAAATGCTCCAGTCGCAGAATACTCCAGTCACCAAAATGCTCCAATCGCAAAATGCTCCAGTCGCAAAATGCTCCAGTCACCAAAATGCTCCAATCGCAAAATGCTCCAGTCGCAGAATGCTCCAGTCGCAAAATGCTCCAGTCGCAGAATGCTCCAGTCACAAAATGCTCCAGTCGCAAAATGCTCCAGTCACAAAATGCTCCAGTCTCAAAATGCTCCAGTCGCAAAATGCTCCAGTCGCAGAATGTTCCAGTCACAAAATGCTCCAGTCACAAAATGCTCCAGTCGCAAAATGCTCCAGTCACCAAAATGCTCCAATCGCAAAATGCTCCAATCGCAAAATGCTCCAGTCACAAAATGCTCCAGTCTCAAAATGCTCCAGTCACAAAATGCTCCAGTCGCAAAATGCTCCAGTCACCAAAATGCTCCAATCGCAAAATGCTCCAGTCGCAAAATGCTCCAGTCTCAAAATGCACCAGTCGCAAAATGCTCCAGTCGCAAAATGCTCCAATCGCAAAATGCTCCAATCGCAAAATGCTCCAGTCGCAAAATGCTCCAGTCACCAAAATGTTCCAATCGAAAAATGCTCCAATCGCAAAATGCTCCAGTCTCAAAATGCTCCAGTCACAAAATGCTCCAGTCGCAAAATGCTCCAGTCACAAAATGCTCCAGTCTCAAAATGCTCCAGTCGCAAAATGCTCCAGTCGCAGAATGCTCCAGTCACAAAATGCTCCAGTCGCAAAATGCTCCAGTCACCAAAATGCTCCAATCGCAAAATGCTCCAGTCGCAAAATGCTCCAGTCTCAAAATGCACCAGTCGCAAAATGCTCCAGTCGCAAAATGCTCCAATCGCAAAATGCTCCAATCGCAAAATGCTCCAGTCGCAAAATGCTCCAGTCGCAAAATGATCCAGTCGCAAAATGCTCCTGTCTCAAAATGCTCCAATCCCAAAATGCTCCAGTCTCAAAATGCTCCAGTCGCAAAATGCTCCAGTCACAAAATGCTCCAGTCACCAAAATGTTTCAATCGAAAAATGCTCCAATCGCAAAATGCTCCATTCTCAAAATGCTCCAGTCTCAAAATGCTCCAGTTGCAGAATGCTCCAGTCACGGAATGCTCCAGTCACGGAATGCATCAATCGCAAAATGCTCTAGTCTCAAAATGCTCCAGTCGCAAAATGATCCAGTCACCAAAATGCTCCAATCGCAAAATGCTCCAGTCGCAAAATGCTCCAGTCGCAAAATGCTCCAGTCGCAAAATGCTCCAGTCGCAAAATGCTCCAGTCTCAAAATGCTCCAATCGCAAAATGCTCCAGTCACAAAATGCTCCAGCCGCAGAATGCTCCAGTCTCAAAATGCTCCAGTCACAAAATGCTCCAATCGCAAAATGCTCCAGTCACGTAATGCTCCAGTCACAAAATGCTCCAGTTACCAAAATGCTCCAATCGCAAAATGCTCCAGTCACCAAAATGCTCCAGTCTCAAAATGCTCCAGTCGCAAAATGCTCTAGTCGCAGAATGCTCCAGTCACAAAATGCTCCAGTCACAAAATGCTCCAGTCGCAAAATGCTCCAGTCACCAAAATGCTCCAATCGCAAAATGCTCCAGTCGCAAAATGCTCCAATCGCAAAATGCTCCAGTCACAAAATGCTCCAGTCTCAAAATGCTCCAGTCACAAAATGCTCCAGTCGCAAAATGCTCCAGTCACCAAAATGCTCCAATCGCAAAATGCTCCAATCGCAAAATGCTCCAGTCGCAAAATGCTCCAGTCGCAAAATGCTCCAATCGCAAAATGCTCCAGTCGCAAAATGCTCCAGTCTCAAAATGCTCCAGTCGCAAAATGCTCTAGTCGCAGAATGTTCCAGTCACAAAATGCTCCAGTCACAAAATGCTCCAGTCGCAAAATGCTCCAGTCACCAAAATGCTCCAATCGCAAAATGCTCCAGTCGCAAAATGCTCCAGTCGCAAAATGCTCCAGTCGCAAAATGCTCCAGTCACCAAAATGCTCCAGTCTCAAAATGCTCCAGTCGCAAAATGCTCCTGTCACAAAATGCTCCAGTCACGGAATGCTCCAATCGCAAAATGCTCCTGTCACCAAAATGCTCCAATCGCAAAATGCTCCAGTCTCAAAATGCTCCAGTCACAAAATGCTCCAATCGCAAAATGCTCCAGTCACGTAATGCTCCAATCGCAAAATGCTCCAGTCGCAGAATGCTCCAGTCGCAGAATGCTCCAGTCACGGAATGCTCCAGTCACAAAATGCTCCAGTCTCAAAATGCACCAGTCGCAAAATGCTCCAATCACCAAAATGCTCCAATCGCAAAATGCTCCAGTCGCAAAATGCTCCAGTCGCAAAATGCTCCAATCGCAAAATGCTCCAGTCACAAAATGCTCCAGTCTCAAAATGCTCCAGTCACAAAATGCTCCAGTCGCAAAATGCTCCAGTCACCAAAATGCTCCAATCGCAAAATGCTCCAGTCGCAAAATGCTCCAGTCTCAAAATGCACCAGTCGCAAAATGCACCAGTCGCAAAATGCTCCAGTCGCAAAATGCTCCAGTCGCAAAATGCTCCAGTCACGGAATGCTCCAATCGCAAAATGCTCCTGTCACCAAAATGCTCCAATCGCAAAATGCTCCAGTCTCAAAATGCTCCAGTCACAAAATGCTCCAATCGCAAAATGCTCCAGTCACGTAATGCTCCAATCGCAAAATGCTCCAGTCGCAGAATGCTCCAGTCAAGGAATGCTCCAGTCACGGAATGCTCCAGTCACAAAATGCTCCAGTCTCAAAATGCTCCAGTCGCAAAATGCTCCAGTCACCAAAATGCTCCAATCGCAAAATGCTCCAGTCTCAAAATGCTCCAGTCGCAAAATGCTCTAGTCACAGAATGCTCCAGTCACAAAATGCTCCAGTCACGGAATGCTCCAGTCACCAAAATGCTCCAATCGCAAAATGCTCCAGTCGCAAAATGCTCCAGTCTCAAAATGCTCCAGTCACAAAATGCTCCAATCGCAAAATGCTCCAGTCACGTAATGCTCCAATCGCAAAATGCTCCAGTCGCAGAATGCTCCAGTCAAGGAATGCTCCAGTCACGGAATGCTCCAGTCACAAAATGCTCCAGTCTCAAAATGCTCCAGTCGCAAAATGCTCCAGTCACCAAAATGCTCCAATCGCAAAATGCTCCAGTCTCAAAATGCTCCAGTCGCAAAATGCTCTAGTCGCAGAATGCTCCAGTCACAAAATGCTCCAGTCACGGAATGCTCCAATCGCAAAATGCTCCAATCGCAAAATGCTCCAGTCTCAAAATGCTCCAGTCGCAAAATGCTCCAGTCACAAAATGCTCCAGTCACCAAAATGTTCCAATCGCAAAATGCTCCAATCGCAAAATGCTCCAGTCGCAGAATGCTCCCGTCTCAAAATGCTCCAGTTGCAGAATGCTCCAGTCACGGAATGCTCCAGTCACGGAATGCTCCAATCGCAAAATGCTCCAGTTGCAAAAGTGCGGTTACACATTTCATGTTGCACTGTGTTACTATATTATCATTATTATTTATCTTATTACCTCAAAAATGTTAATTTTAATTTCAAAATACGCGCCGATTGCTGCGATTGTCAATCAGCTGTTTACATACGCCTACCAACACTGCTGATAGCGATAAATACTATTATCGAAAAATGATAAACCCAAATCGACTACTAACAAAAATAGAAAATTGTCTTTTATTTATTTGTTTAAGCTAGAAAAATAAGGCCTGCGAAATGGCTGAAACTAAGCCCCATCCCTTCGACATGGACAGCACCAGTTTCGACGCGGAAAAGTATCTGGAGAGGATGCTGAAGGTGAGTAATGGGAAAAGACTCAATGATTCTACCTTATGCTTATGTTTTGCTTGTTAATCATAAACTTAGGATTGCTCCTTGAAGCAAATTATGGACACGGAGGCGGCGGTGGTCAAGGACACCCAGACGCTGCATTCGGACATGCAGACTCTGGTGTACGAGAACTACAACAAATTCATCTCCGCCACGGACACGATTCGCCGGATGAAGGACGACTTCAAGCAGATGGAAACGGATGTGAACTTGCTAATGACCAAGATGCAGTCCATTACCACCTTCAGTGAGCAGATCACCGGCACCCTGCAGGGAACCCGATCGCAGCTCTGCCGCCTGTCCGAGAAGCATTCGCTGCTCAAGCGGCTTCAGTTCCTCTCCACACTGCCGGCCAAGCTTAAATCCCTGATCGAGGAGCAGAACTACGCCCAGGCTGTCCAGGATTACCTGCATGCCCAGAAGGTGTTTGCCCAATACGGCCGCCAGCCCTCCTTCGATGGCATCCAGCGAGATTGCGACGCAATCATGGCGGATCTCAAGGAGCAGTTGCGGCAGGACTTTCAGAGGGCGGGCAATACGGCCCAATCGTTGACGGAAATCGGGGAGCTGCTCCTGCAACTGGACGAAAAGACCTCGGATCTGGCCAGCGAGATGCTGACCTGTGCGGGCAAGCGGCTGCACGAGCAGATCGTCATGCTGCAGGATCAGACGGAGCGGGATATGCTGGAGTTCGTGGACATGGGCATCGATGGCTTCCTCAACGACCTGGCCCTCGTGGTGACCTCCTACTTCGACATGTTCGTGGCCAAGCACTACGAGCAGGAGCGGTACGCTCAAATTATTTAGATAATTTAGCATTTGGTTCAACATAACATCCCCTTTCAGTGACGACTTCCAGGAGAATGCCCTGCAGGAGCTGAATGTCTTCCTCAACCAGAACATCGACAAGTATCTGACGCTCGTCCAGGATCGCGTGGAGTCCGACATTGGTTACGGCGACACGCAGGTGATGCTGCGTGCTCTGGATCGACTTCATCGGCGCCTGCAGGCCATGCGCAACATTTGCCGCGGCTTGGAGGTCAAGCGCAACACCGTCGCCATCATTATATCGGCTGCCCACCAACTCTGCGATGCCCACGCCAAAAACTTAAAGGATCACTTTGCCGACAGCCTGAGCGCGGTTCGTTTGTCGCTGGTTTCCGCCAAAAGCGATGCTGCTGCTGGTCTCAATCTCAGCGATCTGATCAGCAATCTGTACGTGGCCATGGTGGAGAAGATCAAGGGCGTTCTGCAGGATTTGCTCATATTCCTGCGCACCGACTGGTCGTTCAACATCAAGGCGGAGCACAAGGGCACTCTGTGCGTGGAGGGCATAAGGGAGAACCTGCTGATTGGCTTTCTGCGCCACATTGCCAAGGTGATGTGCGGTTTCGGCGATGCTTCCAGCTCCAGTCCACCGAATCTGCTGCTGGTGCTGTCCAAAACGTGTCTCGAACTGGAGCAGCAGGGCGTCCACATACTGGCAAGCATGGCATAGCATTTATTTGTAGTTTTTCCTAAGAAATTCAATCCTCAGATTGCTTTGGTGGATGACCTGTACGAAATCGACTCGGAGAACAGTGCCACACTTACCCACGAAACGGAAATTTGTGCAGAGATGCGGGAAACGGCACAGTCACTCCTCGATTCGTATGTCCGCCTGCAGGGCACAAATATCTCGCAAATGCTGCGCAAGAGCGTCGAGACGAGGGATTGGCTGAACTGCCTGGAGCCTCGTTCAGTGCGGGCGGTGATGAAGCGCGTGGTGGAGGAGCTGGGCAGCATCGAGGCGGTGGTGGCTAGTCTCTACGAGGCCGCCACGAACACAGCCTCCGGATTCCGCACCACAGCCAGCAGTGATTCCAGCCGCAAAACGTACTTCAGCAACTTTGCTTCCACCTCCAAGCCACAATATCGATCCAATTGGTCGAACTACACGCCTTCGCAGCTGGAATCCAGCTACGTTTCTAACATACATCGCTTGTTTTCCGAGCGGGTGGAGATCTTCACTTCGGTGGAGTTCACCAAGGCCTCGATTGTGATGGGCATAATTAAAATCGGTCTTAAGGTAGGTTATTACTTGAGAAATTACATGATCTTTATGAATACCCCCTTTTTTAGACCCTTTTGGAATGCGTAAGGCTGAGGACTTTTAGCAAATACGGACTGCAGCAGATTCAAGTAGATGCCCACTATCTGCAAATGAATCTCTGGCGGTTTGTTAGCGACGAAAAGTAAGTTGAGTGCTACAACTAGATTGAAATAATCGAACATATTTGTTTAACAGTCTGGTCAACTTCCTGCTGGACGAGATCCTTGGCTCGGCTGTCCAACGCTGCTTGGAGTCCGTCCTAATGGAGCCCAATGCTGTGGAAATTATTTGCGAACGCGGTTAGTATTTATCCCAAAATTGAAGCACACACATTCCACTTAAAATCTCCGTCTATTTTGTTAAACGCTGCTAGCCTAAGGATCGTAAAATAAACATCTGTTTCTAATATACATATTAAAATGAATTTGATGAATGGTGAATCTAAGAACCACTTCTATCAAATACCATTTCGCCAATTTGTAACAGAGCTGCCGTGAAAAGACTGTTCAATCTGTGGCATCGGGACTAAGGCACAAGGTGAACTCGATGGTTTCGGCCTTTAGATCCTCGTCGCTGTTCGCCAGCAGAATCCTGTGCGTTTCGTCGCCATCCTCGCCCGTTGCGATGGTCAGGACACCGGGCGCCTCCTCATCGACGGCTTTTCGCTTCTCGGTGCGTGCCTGCCGCGCCTCCTCGAACTCCTTGGGATGACACTTCTTGCGGTGCGTGTGCAGATTTGCATTCGAGTTGAAGGTCTTCGGGCAGTGGGGACATTTGTACAGCACCTCGCCCGTATGCATTGTCATGTGTTCCTTCAACGTTATGGCCTTCTTGAAGGCCTTTCTGCACACGCTGCATTCGTGCTTCCTGTCCGTGAGATGCACATATCGCTGGTGACTCAACATGGCGCTGCGATTGGGCGAAATCTTTCCGCAAAGATCGCAGGTGGCGGCTGTGCCATTATGACGACGCACATGCTTCTTGAGACTGTGCTTGTTCTTGTGCCACGAGCCGCAGATATCGCACTGCACCTTGGGCTCCGTGACACCGGCGTGCTCCAGCTGATGCCGCTGGAAAGCAGCTCTGCCGCGAATGACCTGGGCGCAAATGTCGCACATGGTGCCATAGTTGCCGTGCGCCATCTTGACGTGCGTACAAAGCAGCGATTGGTTGGGAAATCTAACCAAAAAGAGTTTTAATATATACAGAAATGGCTAAGACATCGCATACCTCCTCTCGCACAGATCGCACACCACATTGCGCTCTTTGTGGATAACACGATGCTGATCCAACAGATACTGCTTTGTATATCTCTTCGGGCACTGCTCGCACATAAAGGTCTTCTCCTCCTCCGGATGATGTTTCAGCAGCTCGTGGTTCCTCAGGCACTGTTTGTCCGCAAACCGCTTGTCGCACTGGGTGCACCTGTGATGAAATTTCTTATTGGTTAAGAGCTCTCTTCTCAAGAAGTAAATATTCGATTGGCTTCCTGCACTTTACCACTCACTTAAACTTCTCGGGATCGGCATGGCGATCGATGTGATCGGTGAGAAAGGATCGCTTGTAGAACTTCTTGTTGCAGCAGATTGCATATCCCTTGCGACGATGCTCCTGCAGCATGTGCTTGCAGAGCAGCAGAAAGGTCTCCTGGCCCTCGTGGCAAATGTCGCAGGTGAGTCGCATGTGGGCAGAGATCTTGGCATCGATCTCCAGCATGCACTGCTTGTAGTCCGCATAGCGCTTGGTTTTCTGTGGGGCTGCTTCTGCTTTGCAGGAAGTTCTCTTGCCTCTGGACTTGGTCACTGCCAGTTTGGGTTTCTCTTGCGGGGGAGAAGGAGAAGGAGGAGCAGGGAGAGTGGGTTCGGTTGCCAGATGGGATTTACTTTTGGTGGTGGATCGCGTTTCTCTACGTTCCTCTGTGGGTATAGTGGGTACTGGAGTGGGTGTGGGGATGGGTAGATCCTTTAGTCCCGCTTCTGGTGCTGATGATTCTTTTAAGAACTCTCCTTCTAGTGGCTTGGACACACTCTGCTCCTCCTGCTGGGCAATGACATCGCTAAGGAACTGTTCATTTGTGAAGGAGGCATTGTCGCAATCGCTGCCGGGTAATTCCACCTCCTGATCTTCATCCTGCCCCTCCTCCGCTTCCCCCTGGAGCTCCAAGTCCTCTTCCCGTTCTGCTTTCCCCTGATCCTGGCCAGATTTCAGCGAAAACCTCTCAGTGAGCAAGCGATGTGCCCTCTCAACCGCTCCATAGAACTGGTGGAAATCGTTCACCTGATTCCAGCAGGCCGAACAAATCACAGTGGATATGGGATCATCGCTTTTTGGCTGTCAAAAACCATTAAATATAGTTTCCAAAAATAAAAACACAGGGAATTACGTACCTCAAACCAAAAGTATTTGGCCAGCACATTGGCCACATTTAGGGAAAGGCCAACATCCTCGAAAATCCGTATTGTATCCGAATCGTCGACGCTGTTTAGGCACAGACGGCAAATCATGCTTGAGTCAAAGCATTCAAAAGTTTAAAACAATAATAAATTGTTTGTTTTTTGTTGACTTTAGCCTAAATGTGACCGTAAATAAACTCGTCAGAAAATACCGAAGAGGAGACAATCGATATCGAGCAGAAAATAAATCGTTAATCGATAGGCCGTGCGCCAATTTTGAAATAAAAAATCTTGAAACTTACAATTAGTATAAAAAATGTAAAAGCCACTTTACTTTTAATTTATATTTCTCTTTTCCTATAGTAAAAAACACTTCTTTTAATGTTTGGAGAATTGGTAATTTATTTAAGATAAAGTTGAATTATTTATTTATTTAATGATATAACTAATTGGTTTCAAGTTTGTTTGTTTTTGTCGTTTCTTCTTCCTTCTCTCGCGTTAAATTAATTAATTACATTTAAAATCACAGCAGTCTTTCATTAAAAAATAGATTTATCAATGTTGTGTTTAATCCGTAGAATATAACTCTAACCGTAGATCGTGTGTGTATAATAACTGAACAAACTTTCACTACATTCATAAAAAATGTTTAAAATGTAACGGAATCAAGAGCTTACCACTAATCGGAGCTACAAATTGCCACTGCAAACTAACTACTGATTTAGTAATCACCTACATATATTAACATTTAGGTTATCTATATCGCGTGCAGATATAGATGTACGTATCGTCATTGAACTGAGTTGACAAAATAAACACTTTTATCTCGTTTACGAATTGCACAAAAGTCGAAAGTAACATTAGTCGATATATATGTATATATAGTATAGTTCTAAATATGGATAATCTTTACGGCTAAAACGAACGTTGGTTTCCTTTGTATGAAATTTCTGCTACTGGAATGTATTTTACTTGCTCCTGTTTGCTGAAAAACCGTGCGCCACCCAATTTGTATTACAAGTTCTCTAAACTATGTTGTTGGCATGTGCGTAATTCGTTAATATGTATGTAAAATATTTTTGCGAATAGTTTAAATATTTCTACACGTATATACACGTTCCGCGTTTGAATTAAACTAGCTAAGAATCGGTGTGGTCGACGAACAATTGAAAAAAGTGTCTATAATTGATATTGAAAATTTTGATTACGCTACTGAATTCGAAAAACGAGAAAGGGATAATCTTTGTTAGGAAATTGGAAGCTAACTCCTGTCCAATTGCTACGGTTTTAGGATGTCTACATATCGTACATATCGGCTTTAATCACAGCTACGCAGAGTTTAGGCAAGGCGAGTCGTTCATTTTGGGTAGCTAGCAGGGCGGGATCTCTAAATTTAGCCGGCCACCTGCTGCATAGTGATGGTGCTGATTAACTGCTGGCAGATCTTTCCGTACTCGAACTGGTCCCCGGAAATGCGGCGCAGCTTTATGCCCTTCCCGGCTCCATGGTGATCCCGGCTGCGTCCCTCGCAAACCTGCAGCTCGATCTGCAGACCGCCCGAGTACTCCAAACTCAGATTGGTGGTTGGCTCTCCGTAGCCAGAGTGTGAGGCCAAAAGGGAGGCCGCCTCGCAGGCCAAAGGATTCGAGCTGGATGCATTTGAGGCACTGCTGTGTCGCGATTCAGCGCCACTGTCCTCCGAACTGATGCTGCCCTTGTGCAGCACAAAGCCCTTGGGCGGCATTGTGGAGTCAATGGTCTGCTTCACCATCTCCAGGATGCGGGTGGAGTCCAGATTGGAGCACTCGTGTGGCAGCGGCACCTCGTAGCACATCTCATCCGACATGCGCCGCGAGTCGCACATGGAATCGGGTGTCAGGTGGCCACATTCGGTGTGATCGCCCATCTCCGAATGGGAATCCGACTTGAAGCCTGAGCTCGCGGATGGCTCCTGGCAGGGCGACAGGTTATTCGAGTCATTGCTCAGTGAATCGTCAGAGAAGCCAAGCGATTTGTCACTGCCCCGCCGACACTGAGCTTCGGTTTGAGCTTGCGATTGAGCGGTGTGGGATGAGCTACTGCCACCGCCCACTGGACAATGACCTCCGCCGCTCGATTCGCAGTCCAGACTGGCCTTGCGTCCAATTCCCCTGGTAATTGAGGGCATATCGCTGCTGGGTTCTGTTATGATCAGTCCCTATAAGATTAAGAAGAATTGATGATTACGTTTAATAATAAATTTACAATTAGTGCTTCAATTCTAAAGTTCGGACCATAAAAAAAGTCATTGTGTTCCTTTCATTATTGATCTAGGGCCTTTTTCTCTGCCGTTTGTTAAATTTAAAGTAGGGTTTAAACCTTGTAATCGTATGGGAAATCAGAATTTTAACCCTACTTTAAATTTAACAGACGGACGAGAAAACGGCCCTTAATATTGTACATTTTTTTTTCATTTATGATGTTCTTATTTTTATGCTATGTATATAATTTTAAGTCTATTGAGCAGTAAATAAATAAATAAACAAATAAATAAATAAATAAACAAATAAATAAATAAACAAATAAATAAATAAATAAACAAATAAATAAACTAATAAATAAACAAATAAATAACTACCTGCAGAGACATTACAGGCGTGTGCTGTTCCAGAGAGTCCTCGCTATCTCGACTGTTGTCCGAGGATAGAGCCACCAAAGTGATCTCGCTGCCCTGGACATCGGTGAGGCATATCTGCGGCGTGATACCTCCCGTACAGCCGGCATATGGAGTGCCAGTGCTGATTGTGTGACACATCTGGCCGTTACCATTCTCCTCCTGGATGATGCACAAGTTGGGCGACGCTGGAGGTGTGGGCACGACTCTCACAGGTTGGGCTGGCGATAGATTCAGCGGTTTCAGGTCATAATACGAAGCCGTGGGCATAAACCAATTGGTGGCTGCATAGTCCGTGGGCTGCTGATCCACCACACCGCCACAAACATCCATTGAAAGGTCCAGAGGTTGATTGGCTGCGGCAGCTGCGGCTGCTCCTTCGCTGGCGGCCGAAGTGCCCCTCGTGATGGAACCGCCAGCACCACCAGTACTCAATCCAGATATGCCCTTGGTGATCTGGTGCAGCGGCGAAGAGGCACCGCCGGGGCATGGCAGGTAGGGATTCGGTGAGCAAGTTCCACTGAAGCTGGTACTGTAGACCGGCGACTGGCAGCCGCTGCTCGAATTCGAGTTGCTGGCCCCCAGATTGATGCTGCTGAACTGACCCACCAGCTGCTGTTGATGCTGCTGCGGCTGCAGGGCCAGTGTCATCGGCTGGTATTGCGTGTAGCCACAGATCGGTTGGCCAAACATCTGCTTGGCGGAGGTGAGCGAGGCATTGACGGCTCCGCCCTGCGGCAGACTCAGCGGGGAAACACTGAAGCTGAGCATGTGTTGCTGCTGCTGCTGCTGCTGGAGGTGCAACAAGTGACTCTGATCGATGTGTCCTCCACTGACCGCCGCCGCACTCGAGGCATGAGCTGCTAGACCCAGAAGTGGGGCCAAATCCATCGGCACCACATGCGTTGAGATTATCTTGTTGGCTATTTCGAAGCTGACCCGCTGCTCCTTCACCAGGCGGTCCAGGGCGGGCATCAGATTCTTGATGGCCTCCGGAGGAACTTCAATATCATGGCCACGCCGAAGAGCTAGCTGCAAGCCCATTCCTGGTTTGCCATGAATGGGCGAACCTATGGAAGTAGAGTTTTTAGAATTATTAAAAATATCTTCAACGAAATAAGCTTGTGACGAAGCTTGTGGCGTTAATTTTGGCCTCCTCATCTTACCTGGCAAACTGATCGAATTTTCTAAAAGCGGCGGACTAGGTGCAACCAAAAAGTTTCTCTGTGCAATACCTTTCTGCAGGGATTGGCATTCCTGCAGCGGTCCTTGGAACTGACTCTTCGATCCTTCGGAGGCACGACGCACTGGACTGTAACGTCCTATTGTCGCTAAATGGCAAGCAGCAGGGGTAGAAACACAGAAAAAGAGGGAATGGAAGGAGAGTGTAAGGCAATTGTAATCTCATCTTAGCTTAAAAAGTATTTTTATGGGTGATTTGTAAAGGTAAATATAAACAGAGAATTTATTTTAATTAAATCTTGGAATTCTATTATAATCTATAGAAATAATAATCTATAGAAAATATAGAAATAAGACATAATAAATAAGGTCATAAGAAGTATTGTATTTTACTTTTTTTAGCAAAATGATACAGAGTTTAAAGAACTAAACGAAATATAAATTAATGCCTTAAAATGTGTTTGGTTAATATAATGCATTTGGTAAATGTTTATAAATGGATTTGGTTTTAATTTCGATGGGACACTCTGATTTTAGCCCAACTCCACGAGGACCCAAGACAAAAACTCAAGACTTACCACCCTCCTGAACGGTGGGCAACTTCGAGTGGACCACCCGATGGATGCGCCGGTTATTGGCCGCCACCAGGGGCACGGAGCCACCGGCGGCTGCCACCAGGGGCAGCGAGTGGGGCGGCGACACGCCCTTTGACATGCCCATGGGCAGTCCCATGCCCACCGGGTAAGTACCATTGGGGGGCGATTGGCTAAGAGATTTCAGGGTAGGTGGCAGATAGTCGCGGTTCATGCGAGACTCAACCTCGCGAACTAACTCGGGGGAGATCTCTATCGTTTATGCGGATTAGGTAGAGGGGTTTTTTTTTGTAAGCAGCAAGATCAGGAGCGGTAGCGGTTGTAGTTGTTGTTGTTGTTGTGCAGTAGCGGGCAATGCAAAATTATCAATTGCAATAAACCAAAAATGTTTACATAAAAAGAAAGTTTAAAAAGCAAACCATTAAATTAATACGGTAAATAAAATAATAATACATTTTATGTATAAAGTAATAGTCGTTTACTAAGAAACAATATAACTCTTAAGATCAAATTAAGTTTTTACAGAATCATGCAGCTAAATCGATCGCTTTATTAAATTTTGAACCAATATAAAGTAATTTAGATTTCATTATCTGTGTTTATTTTGTTTAAAAATAATAACATTAGTGCAGTACTTCAAAGTAATATTTTATGGCAGCTTGAAATTTATAATATTCAAAAAACAAATTATAAGATTCAATCTT